AAAGAGAAGAAAGAGAAGAAAGAGAAGAAAGAGAAGAAAGAGAAGAAAGAGAAGTGTTCTAGTTTGAAACAAAAACAGTGAGAGACTCTAAGTCAGAAATACAATTTATTAGAAAAAGTGAAAAAAAAAACCCAAAATACATGCAATAATACAAAAGAAAAACCACGGACAGAGTCAGAATACAACCTGACACCCTTTTTGGTCAGGGTGTTCCTTGCCATCCAGATTGGAATGGCTGTAGTCCTCCTGGAAATACAGCAGAAAAACCTGAGTCTGGTGTCCCAAAAACCCAGATTATATCCAGTAAGGAATGCTTGGCTCCTCCCTTTGGGTGGAGCATCTCACAATGGGATGTTATAGTTCTTATCAGTCATGTAGTGACATTCAATAGCCCATGATCAGCAAATGTCATCCTGGAGGGAGAACTGATTGTGAAAAAAATAAGGAAAACTGCCACTTAAGAGAAGACAACTGCCATACAGATGGCAAATGGAATACATCTTGCCTTGCAATCTGGGACAGGAAGAAAGAGAAGAAGGAGAATGCCAGGCCATGGTTTCCCTCTTGGTTGTCCTCTGGCAAAAGACTCCCATGACTTTCAAGTCTGACTCCTGGGACTGAGCTTGTGTCATTAGTGATGCCCAGGGGAAAAGACAGCAGACAGAGCAAATGTGGTTGAGGTGCCAAGGGCTGCAGTCCCATCCTGCAGCCTCACAGGGAGGGGACAGTGCCAATGTCTTTGTCAGGTCACAGCTTGTACTGGGTCTGGCTGAGCTGGACTCATTTTCCCACACCACCCTCACAGGGCTGGGCTCTGCATGGGTAGCTGGAAAGGTGCTGATGCCACACCAAGAGTTTTGGGTACTGCTGAGCAGCGCTGGCACAGCACCAACGCTGTCCCTCCAACTTCCACCCACCACCTGAAGGCTGGGGATGGACAAGATCTTGGGCGGGGACACAGCGACTACAGCTTACCCAAATTAACCAAAGGGATATTTTATATCATATGATGCCAGCTCAGATATAAAAGCTAAGGAAGGGAGGCAGAAAGGAGAATATTCATTATTTTACAGTGTGTGCCTTCTGGAGCAAAGATGAGGTGTTTAACTCCTGCTTCCTGGTAACTGGCTGGACATCACTTGCTGATGGGAAGAAGATAAAGAAATATTTGGATTTTTGCTTTGCTTTTGTGCATTCAACCTTTCACTTTTGCTTTAGCAAACTGCCTTCTCTCAGCCTATGCTTCCTGTCTTATTTTCTCTCCTCTGTCCAGCTGAGAAGGAGTAAAGATGAAGTGTCTTGGTGGGTACCTCGTGTCCAGTTAAGGCCAATCCACCACACCCCTGTACAGAGCCTGCCTGACTCCAATTCCCATGTGGACCAATTTAATAGCAAGCTCCTGTGAATGAATATCACCTAAGAGGAAGGAAACAGCCAAGCTTTACAGATGCCTGTGGTTGAAAAGGAACAGCAAATGCCAGAGGGTCCAAAAAAAACTTAAAAAGTTTTATTAGCAAATTATACACATGGCATATTAATTGGTATAAGTTAGCTCCTTATCTCCTAGTAGCAAGAGAAATAAAAGAATAATTTTTAAAAAGGTGGGAAGAGAGATAAAAGGAGTTCATTGGTCCTGGGTCTATTATTGATCTGGCCAACAAGAGGTCAGGGGCACTGCCTGGGCACTGTGTGGATGGGTTTTATTGAGAAGCTTTCCCCGGGAGCTCAGGACACTGTGCCAGGCCTGGTGCTGTCCCACCGCTGGCTGCCCAGGGAGGTGCTGGAGCCACCATCCCTGCAGGTGTTTAAGGAAAGACTGGATGTGGCACCGAGTGCCATGGTGGCACTGGGTGTAGGTTGTACCCGGTGATCCCAGAGTCGTTCCAGTGCAGCACATACTGTGGCGATGCTGTGC